TAGATGCTGACTTCTTATCAAAGAAGTCAGTAATTCATTTTTCTTCTACTGAAATATATACAAGAGTTACTGCATGTTTTATATAATCTTCTTAGTATACTAAGTATCATATCTGTGATATTCTTGCAATAACTCTGTAGTCTACAAGCTCACTATTTAAGCAAGATAATTAAGCTTACTTATACAGCTTCTCAAACAACTACTTCTACATAACACTGCTGACTAGCCACCGCTTCAGTTCCGTCATGTTACAGTAAATTTGTAATATTATCTTATTAGAAAATATCTAGATATTCATGATATTATTGAGAAAGTTTTGTATAAGAATCTATTATTATAGTATAAGATAACTTCTTTATAGCTTTCTTGATATTAGTCAGACTGATGAAATAGATTGATATATAATCTTACTATTAATAATTTTATCAGCAGTTTTAATAACTTCTTTTTCAGAGCATTTTATAAGCATTGACAGAGATCTGTGTAAGATTTATAGTCTTGTAAATATTATCTTTATGAATTCTATCATTGTTAAGAAATATCAAGCTTCTGTTTCAAGTATTTAATAAGATGCTTTGTTCAGATAGTCAGATGAGTTCTAATATAAAATTATAATCAAAATTATCAACTTTATATATATAGACATCTTCATGTTGATGTTCTTTAATATATATGTTTAGTTTCATTATATAATAGGTGCAAACATCTTTTGAATCATTAAATTCTGCAAGAAGTCAGAGTTTTGATAAGAAGATACACTGAAGATTATAATATCTTACAACTGAAGATTTTATCATTGTATAGTAGCATAGATCACTGTCTATCATGACTTTTATATTATACATGTTATCAATCACAGTAGATACAAGAATTACATTCATTGTTATTTCTCTTTAAATTATTATTATTCAATCTCTTCAAGCTTCTGTTTATAAATTTGAACAGAAGCTAATCTTTTCTCTATTTCATTGAGACATTCTTATAGTTATCTTTTAAATCTTTCTTCACTGCAATGTGGTTGATGTGGACAGATACTGATTCATTCTTTGAATGAGAAGACACTGATCTTTCTCTTGAATAAGAAGATGATGATCTTTCTCTTAAGTGTGAAGATACATAGATTGATCAGCAGTTGAAAGCAATGTATTCTAATCAGTTACAGTTAATATATACTTCACATTGACATTGATCAGTGACTTTCTTGAAAGTGATTTCAGAGACTTAAAAGCCTGTTTAAACAGTGAAAACTCTTGCTTATGTATAGACATTTGAATCTATTCAGTTTATAATATCTGTATCATTGCTGTTACTTCTCTTCAGCATGAGTGTATAAGTAGACTGATCACCGGGACCATGAATTTCACATTTGATCTCATTTGGTCTGGTTTCATACATTTCTTAGTGTGAATCCCGCTGGAACTAGTCATTAAAAAAACATGTAAAGTGACTATATATCAGATGTTAAAATGAAACCATAACTTGAAAAAAATAAGAAAGTGATCTCATTTGATTTCATTTAGTTTCATTCTTGACATAAAGTTACTATTTTTAGACATTTTAAGGTTTTTTTTAGACTATTTTTAATTTTTTAAAAAGTAATGCTTTTTGATAACACTCAAATGAGATTTAAAGTCATTTAAAGCAATAAAAATAATTTAAATTGAGAAGTGAAAATCATGATCTCATTTGAAAAATGTGATAAGAGTAGACAGTAAGTCTCACTGAGACAGTATAAGACTACTATCTAATGTTAAAACCATGTAATGAGATCAGTTAAATTGATAATGAGACTATCAAAAAATCTGGTTCTGATCTCAGACACGGTCACACAGTCAGTCTATGTATAAGTGACTAAGATATAACATCTTCTATCACTGTTCTGCATACTCTTGAGCTTGATAAGATGATTATTCAATGTTCAGAGCTGTGTGCAGAAGCCTTTATAAGTTAAGTCTTCATTTACACTTATAAGAGTCTGTAAGAGTTCAAAAGTTAATGTCTTCTTAAGCATGCTAATCTTTATTCAATTCTCTTAAGATTGATTATCTGCTTCTAAGATCTTGATGTTGAAGTCAGAGATAAATGTTATAAGAGAAGTGTTTCTCTGTTAAGTACTCTGTAATCAATCTAATATCTTCTATTATATGACAGTGTCTCAGAACAGAATATCAAGATATTTTATAATATTATCAGATATTTGTAACACTGATTTACATGCTTTCATTCATGAATGAAACTTCTGTTTCATATAATTCTTTAATTATTCATTGATATATCTAGACTGGCTGCCGGGATTATGAATTTCATATTTAGTCTCATTTGGTCTGATCTCATACATTTCTTGGTGTGAATTCCGCTAGGACTGACTATTAAAAAAACATGTAAAGTGACTATATATCAGATCTTAAAATGAAATCATGACTTGAAAAAAATAAGAAAGTGATCTTATTTAGTCTCATTTAGTCTCATTCTTAGCATAAAGTTACTATTTTTAGACATTTTAAGGTTTTTTTTAGACTATTTTTAATTTTTTAAAAAGTAACACTTTTTGATAACACTTAAATGAGATTTAAAGTCATTTAAAGCAATAAAAATAATTTAAATTGAGAAGTGGAAATCATGATCTCATTTGAAAAATGTAATAAGAGTAGACAGTAAGTCTCACTGAGACAGTATGAGACTACTATCTAATGTTAAAACTGTGTAATAAAATCAGTCAAATTGGTAATGAAACTATCAAAAAATCTAGTCCTGGTCTCAGACACGGTCACATAGTCAGTCTAAATATATCAATCTTGATTGATTAGTAAACTGATGATATCTTCATCTATACTCAGTTTCACAAGCATTTTCATTCTTCATGATGAGTAGAGAGTGAGATTGAAAGTATTAAAATATGTAGAAGTATCTAAGCATTCTTTCAGTGCTTTTATATTCAATTCTGTAGATGTTGAAATTACATGAGTTCTTTGTTGAGTTAATTATTGAATTTCTTTGTATTGAAGTTATTAAGTTACATGCATATCAGCTATCTATTACTGTTGTAATTTTAACATTACTCAGAGTCACTGTAATATCACTTCTATACTCACATTCAAGAGTTCTCTTATATTGTCATTAGACATGTCATTCATTGAGTGTATAATATCTGTGAAATCTTGAAGAAGTATAATTATATAAATATCTCATATATCTGAGATGTCAGAACTCTCAGATCTTTCACTGATATTCTCTTATAAAATCTTACTCTCTTTATAAGATCTTGTTACAGAGTCAGAGTGACTGATGAGTAAGCTTCTATCTGAGAACTCAGTGTTTACTTAACTGTTTAACTGATTCTCTATTTCTTATATGTTGTTACATGTTCAGATATCTCAATGAGTAATTATTTCTAATAAGAAGATAATATGTGAATAATTATTTCAAATAAGAAGATAATGAATGTTTTTCTAGTATAAGAGATCTATGCTGAATAGATCAGTATAATATATAGATCTTATATAACAAAGAGAAAAATATTAGAGAAGAAAAAGAAAGAGAAAGTGCAAGAATCAGTGATCAAAGTAAATATTTATACACATATGTAATGATGTATACTGTATACAGTGAAGCTTCAAGGTGAAAGAATCTATATATATTCATAGCAGCTGAGAATCAGTGATCAAGAATGATTGAGAATCAGAGCATATATATTCATGAATCAAGCAGTTGAAATCTGTGAAGTGTAATAGAATAGTCTATATAATTGATCAGACACAGCCCGTCACAACTATGTATATTATTATATTCATGTATAAATATTCACTCTGATTGCTGATTCTCATACTTTCTCTTTCTTTTCTTCTTTAATATTTTTCACTTTTATATTATAAGATCTATATATTATACTGATCTATTCAGTGTAGACTTCTATATTATCTCTTCTTCTTTATTTTAAATATTATCTTCAGATATTTTATCTGCTGATCTGATATTAATAATTATCTTATCTGAATAATAAATACTTAAGTATCTGTTATTCTCATCATGAGAATCAGCTTTATTAAACTGTTAAGTAGATCAGAAACTTAGCCTGACTATATCAAAAGCTGTATTCAAATCAGCTTTAAATCAAGAGAGTGTTTCAGAGTATTTATTAATGAAGCTATTAAATACTTCAGAAAAATATTCACTGATAGAGTATAAGTATAAAGAATTATTATTAACTGAATCAGTGAGTTGAATATAAGATTATGAATATATATATAAGTAAGATTGTGATAAATCTATTATTTTAATATTTATTTATTAAATTCTTATCAATATTATTCTCTTTTTCTTACTTTTTTTTTTTTATAATATGATATGTTTTCTACAAGTTAAGTAAGTAGTAGTATTATTAATTAATAAAATCTTAAACATATTAATACTGATAGAATAAGACAATTTTAACATCTGATAAGTGTATCAAATGAAGTAGTAGTTAAAATAATAATTATATTAATAAGAAATTCTGAATTGGCAGCAATTTTACACAAAACAGGTCTCATAACCTGTGGAGGTGTAAAGCTTGCTTGATTGAAAATGTTGCTAGCTTGTGGGAAGTTATATGGTGGAAGGATTAGTAAGCCAGATCACGTGACCTGACATTTTTCACATCATTTCTGAAAAGAATGATTCATTTTCAGATTTTTTGATGCTTGGTCCTGAAGACCAGACTAAATAGAATCAAATGTGAAATTCATGATCCCGCCGGCCAGTCTATCCACAGCTTATTCACCATTATATTAAGATTTACAATTCAGTGATGGTGTCACTGACTGGCACAGTTGAACAACCATAACCCGGTTGTATAATAAGCCCGGACATGCTAGCTTGATCCAACCTGTTGTATTTTTCACCAACTTTTTGCACCGCTCCTGGAACTCTGCCAGTACTGCTTTTGTGCACCCTGCTTCCCCGGAACTTCGGGGGTACATGGGAATCGTCCCTGCACGGTTCCAGGCACACAAGGAAGAGAAGAGTGAATAAACTAGAATTTATTTTGTACGGAATAAAAAATATTTTTTTAAGAAAGACGTTTGTAGCCTTCAAGCATGAGTAAGGCACCAACCATCCTCCCTAAATGAATTAAATAAATGACAACAATCAAGAAAAATACAATTCCAAGAAAATATTATCAAATTCTCCCAACCAGCCCCAACGCCGAGTCTCACCCAGGGCTAAAATCCCAAAAAAAAAGAGAATACACATAAAGCCATCCCGTGGGAGAATAAATAAAAGAAAAAGACGTAAAAAGAATACAGAATCCAACCAACATTCTCCCAGGCTGTCTGTAACACCACCATAAGAATCGAAATCCCAAGTACCCAAACCACCGCTCCCTAAACACCATTTTGCGCATTCTGCTGCTGCACACCTACCCCAACCATCTTCCGCAATTCATACTCCTTCGTAAACTCACGACTCAGCGAACCTAGATCCTTGACAAGTTCGTGGCAGGCTGTGATGACGGCTTCCTTAGGTGTGATTTGACCATCGGTTTGTACGCGCAAGATGAATTTGGGGACTAGGGGATGTGGGACCTGCGGCGATATTAATATACGTTAATTTCATAACAATGATTGTTCAAAGGCAATAGAAGACCTGGGGGCGCGGAGAGGGAATATATATCTACATAGATGAACAACATACCTTATAGCCTGAGAAAAGAACGTGGGAGCTATTAATGAGACGCGAGCGGATCATGTTGCCAAGAGTGTGGTCTTCTTTGTGGAAGGTGAAAATAGCGGTGGACGGGATACCTGATGGGCAAATAAAATAGTTGAGTCACGTCGATTAGCCATCGCTATTCTGTGGGATGAATATAACAATGGGGTGGGAAGGAAAAGGCAAAAAGAGACTCACGGGTATCCACCTCAACCTCGACCTTCTTCTCACCCGGGAGAAGAACGAAGGATTCAAATCTACGCGCGAAGTAGAGTGTTAGCTTCAATAACGCGATGTTCGAGAATAACATGAACAGAATATCAAAGACATAGAAGTGTATCTAGCCAAGACTAGCAACCGAAAACGTAGAAAAAGGAGAAGGATCCGAGTGCAAAACGTGAAATTGACAGCAGAGCAGAGCAAGCCACCCGAACCTAGGCACCATATCCAGATGCGGACGGACTTTGGTCTTGCATGGGTTGTGACGGTAACTAGCCGCCGAGGAGTCGAAGAACGTCATGGCGCGTTCCCGCTCTGGATCAAGCGTTTTGTGGTGTTGGGTTTCCATCATGAACGCTTAGGGCCGATAAAGCTATTGAAAGAGATGAACGAAGAATGAAATTCGGGATATGAGGGGGACTCAGGGCTGAGGATAGAACAGAGCAATGATATAAGAGAGCATAACAGATGCGCGGGAGGTAATAAAAGGGGATAATGCAGACATGGAGACGAAGGAGAGGAAGGAGGGATGACAAGACACAGGACACAAACAGGCTCTTTTTGCTGGCTGGGCAACTATGATGGATCCTCCAGCAGCATCGAGCAGAAAGTTGAGAAAAAGATGGAATGTTTCATTCATTCCTCTCCAACTGCATGCTTGTATTCTTGCTCTGTGTGCTTCTCTGTTTTTTCTGTCTCCTCTGTTTCCTCTGCTGCTTTCTCATGTTTCTTTCAACCACAAGCAGAAAAGTATGTTGAACATGACATGAGCTGGGTCTGTTCAAGGGGAAAAAAATATAGAAATATCTCACCTTTCAGGGGCATTCATCTTGAATCAGAGCAGTTGCAGCCAGAAATATTCCCAGATGACGACACACCTCCTGGTGCAAACAGTAACAAAAGTATAGATAAAACCACTCTGCTTGGGGCTGTTTGTCAAGAACAGTTCAGGAACTTCCCCTCCCCTCTTCTTTTATGTGTGTAATGGGAGTGAGTGTAGAATACAAAAAGAAAGCACCTCCTGCTTCAAAGAAAACAGAAATGCGGGTATCCAAAAACATACAAAGAAAATGAAAAGGAAAGTAAGAGGTGGATTTCAAACCAGAAGAGTGAAATGGATGAAAAGCGAAAATGAAGAATGTAGGGCGTATTCAAGAAGGGAGGAATACGTTACTGCAGCACGGTACATTAAAAGTGGAATAACACGGCCGGGGTATAGCTATTGTATAAAATGTCTTAATATTATCAATTTGATATCGAGTTGAAGTTTCTCTCTGCGGCTCTGGATGCGGCGAAATTGCAGATCACGTGGGGTGACTAATTTGGAGCTCCACAGAGACTTCTTGACACTCGGATTAATATATTCTCCGTATTAAGTTACTAGCTGAAGCATAATTACGTCTTTTGATTTCCCTCGGCCGACCCGCAGCTTCAATATTTCCCCTTTAGGAAATTCGGATTCCAGAAGCAGAATAGATACTGTGATCTGTGATACCTATCTATGTAACAAAACATCTCACAGGACGGAAGAAAAAGGGCTCTCTTTCTCCAATCTTAAAGTTGCTTGGATACGAACACTTCTATCTAACATTGGTCAATTGGCAAAGATCCATTTGCTCCCCAGTTAAGAGCCCGGCCTAGATCCGGAACCAACCAGCAGGGCCACCGCCTCAGCTGCAGGCCGCCCCGCTCATTGAGTTCCCGATCATCGTGGAGCGTGAAGAGTTGAGTCAGATGTAGGCTACTGGGGCAAAAGAGCTCAATCACCACCAGCGCCTGCTGGTAGAAGGGCCGACCAACCGCGGGACCCCCAACATCAGAGACCCCCGGGGCATCCGTATTATTAATACCATTATCAATCGCTGACTGAACGGCAGAAGCATCCGAACGTTGCTCCCTCTGCTCTCCTCCCCTGCGATATGCCCCACACTTACACACGTTCCAATACTCCATGAGGGTGCCGAAGTGTATATAAACGGGGCACGCGTCCGCTCTCCCCGGTTTCCAGTCTACACGTATCAAAACCCCTACATAAAACGCAGGCTTCATACCAGAGACCAATACAACGAAACCGAAGAAACCAAAACAAAGGGAAGTGATACTTTTACTCGACTATCTAACATGCCGACCCTTCAAGACCTCCACCCCACCCTCCCCGCCAACTGCCCCGCTATAATTAGCGCGCCAATGCTCTTCATCGCCTCCCCCAACCTGGCCATCTCCGTTACCCGTGCCGGAGGCCTCGGCTTCATCGGCGCCGGCTTCGACGTCTCCAAGCTGGAGAGCCTCCTCACCCAAGCCGCCGAGCTCGCCTCGGCCTCCTCCTCCCCACCCATCCCCAACTATAACAAAGACGACCCCGCCACCTCCCCGATCCCCATCGGCGTCGGCCTGCTAAGCTGGGGCGCAAGCCTCGACCAGGCCCTCCCCATCCTCGCCAAACACACCCCGGCTGCCCTCTGGCTCTTCGCCGCCCACGACCCAGACCCCGCAGCCAACTACGCAGCCTGGGCGCGCGAGGTGCGCCGCGCCACGAACAACCGCACCCGCATCTGGATCCAAGTCGGCTCCGTCGCCGACGCGCTCGAGGTGGCCGACAAGGCCCAGCCGGACGTGCTGGTCGTGCAAGGCAGCGATGCGGGCGGCCACGGCCTAGCGCGCAGCGCGAGCATCGTCGCGCTCGTGCCGGAGGTGAAAGACGCGTTGACGCGGGCTGGGCATGGGGGGATACCCCTGGTGGCGGCGGGTGGGATCGCGGACGGGCGAGGAGTGGCGGCGGCGCTGTGCCTGGGCGCTGCGGGGGTGGTGATGGGGACGCGGTTCCTGGCGTGTGCGGAGGCGGCGGTGGCGCGGGGGTACCAGGCGGAGGTGTTGCGGGTTGAGGATGGCGGGGTGAACACGGCGCGGACGACGGTGTATGATACCGTGCGCGGGTATAATGAGTGGCCTGCCCGGTATGATGGGCGCGGGGTGGTGAATGACACGCTGCGGGATAATGAGGCTGGGATGGATGATGCGGAGAATCAGCGGTTGTATAAGGAGGAGATGGCGAAGGGGGATGAAGGGTGGGGGCCTAAGGGTCGTATGACGACGTATGCGGGGACTGGGATTGGGTTGGTCAGGGAGGTTAAGAGTGCGGAGGAGATTGTGAAGGGGGTGGTGACGGAGGCGAGGGGGATTTTGGAAAGGGTTAGGGGGAGGTTGTAAACCCTGAATTTGCTAGCTATTAACTAACTATATTTAATCATCATGACGCATTTATGCATGTGTCTGTTCGTGTGTTGTCAGAGCTGTGAATAATTCCAATTATAATTACCTATAGTTATGTATATGATGATATATATGATCCAAATTAAGAGGAAAATGAAGCAGAGAAAATAAGCAATGCCATCTTCAGAAAGCCAAAAATAAATAAATGGAATAAAATACGCAGCAATCGAACGACAAAACAACAATCCCTTATTGTATAATTCCCTCAACAACGAAATCAGCAAGCAACCAGGAACAGAAAATAAACCCAAATTGACGAAAAACGGAGAGGTACCAGAAAGGAAACCAAGATCCGTGCACAAACTGAAAGAAGGGGGGGAGAGCATAATTACACCAAGATGTCATTCGCAGCAAAGCGAAAGAAAAATAACATAAAAATCAAGGAGGGCGCAGAGAACGAAGACACCAAGCAAGCTAGATCATCCCAAACGCGCAAGAAAGGGATATTAAATAGGTACGTAAGTTATGTGTGTATGTGTGTGTGTGAAGGGGATAGATGTAAAGCAGAAGATCAAAATCCAAGGTGGGTAGGCAACGTAGGTAATGCAGGTAACTCAGCTTCGTCCTCATGGAAATACACCACTCCTTTTTGTCTTTTCTCCCGCATCCATTCACCAGCTTGTACTTATCCGCCCGTTCGTGATTATTCTCCCGATACCTCACATTGCAAGCCATGCCATATCATCACGTACCATTGTCGCATCCACCACATATTCATTCCCCATTCCAATTCCAATCACGGGGAATTCGGCCCTGAACCAGGAAACAAATCCCCCAACCCTAACCCAGACGAGCCTGTCTTCTTAAACCGCCACCCACTCTTTTTCTTCTCCCGATTCTTCATCATCTCCGCCCAGGCCGCTTCCTCCTCCTCATCATCATCATCATCGTGATGATCTTCATCCTTCCCACCTTGCCCACCGTTCACACTCGCATTCGTACTAGCCCTCAGCCCGCTAACAGGCCTTAACCCACCGACCACATTCGATCCCTCTGTCGCCACCCGCGGCAGGTGATACGGCTGCTGCATACCCATGCCATTGCCACCGATGTTTGAAGTGAGAGACATCTTCCGCGACTCCGCATCCGCCCACGGCCGCAGCGTCGAGGCGGTGAACGTCGACGAACGCGCCATCGCGTTGTCCTGCGGGGGCTGTTGCATTGTCGAGACGGGGCGGTAGCGGCTTGCTGTGCCGACGTTGCTGCGCTCGGAGGGGGCGACGGAGGGGGTGTAGCCGGGTCCTGGTCCCGGGCCTAGGTGTGGGTGTTGCTGTGGGAGGAAGGAGGATTGTCTGTTATTCCATTTGGGGTCAAGGAGGCTGAGGGTTCTATGGTCGACTTGTGGGGGCCCTTGCGGCTGGGGTTGGTTGAAGTTGAGGTTTGAGAGCATGGAGATGGGGCGGGCCATGGATGGTCCGTTAGGTGGGGTAGAGTTATGAGAGCCAAGACCCATATTCAGTGGCATTTGCATGCCCTGCATCTGCATCATGGATTGCATCCATTGGATCTGCGTCTGCATCATCTGGGTCATCTGCGACATCTGGTCCGGTTGGCCGAACCCTGGCGGTTGGCCTGGTGGAGCGCCAGGAACGTTCAAGAACTGTTGTTGCTGGGGAAGAGGCATGGTATTATTGTGCTGTCCGTTCAGATTCATACCGAGCAAGCTTCCTGGGGGCGCATCATATGGACGAACCGCATTCGGGCTCCCTCGTCTCATCGCCTTGGCGCGCTCTTCATTTGCGATTACTCCCACTAGTCCGCCGGGGGGGAAGCCAGGCGGTGCGCCGTAGACAGATGGAGTCCCTCCACCCATGGCCAGGGATTCCCGGTGCGATGGGTTAACAAGACCAGCGCCGATGTTATATGGATCGCGGGGAAGATTTCGTGCAAATACTGGTAAGCTAGTGCGACCTGTTTGCGTTCCTGCTGTAGGTTCAGCGGCAACGGAGGGCGGGCCTTGAGCGAACGATAGCATCGATGCACGAAGATTAGGATTTGAGATCGACGGGGTGAGATGTCCCGGTGGTCGAGTTTTATTTGGGAAGCCGTGCGCCGCAAGAATGGCAAGAGGAATATCATCATCGTCCTCTCCATCGCTGACTTTCCCGTTGGTCGTGGGCTCTGGTGCCAGGAAGGAGCTCCGGTTTAGATTGTTCAACGAAGCTGCACGGGCTTTGTCCACACCATTCTGGTCCGAATCGAGTGGTTTTATTGTCTCTCCCGTAACCTTCATCATTTGCTGTCTGTAGACTGACAGATGAGCTTCCTGCTTCTTCCTTTGCTTCGCCGCCTCGCGAGCCTTCTCCACCTCATCCTCTTCCTCGTCATAATGATCACTATCGTCATCCGAATGGTGGGTGTCGGAAGCGTTACTATTCTTCCTCGTCATTTCTTTCTGCTGTCGATACCGTTCAAACTGAGCCGGAGTCATGACTTTCGTGGGTAGCTGCCTCTCGGAGTTGTTGGCATTCTCCTCGTATCGTTCAGCCAGACTGGCCTCGGCAGCTAATGCAGCTGCGAGGTGGGATTCTTCGTCTTGTAGAACTGGTCGGCGGGTGATTTGTTTCACGTTATTACGCTGCTGCAGTCTGTTCTCCGAGAACGGTAGAGGATCAGGAAAGTCACCGTCAGGTGAGAATTCGGCGGTCATCCGTCTGTGTGCAGATACTGCATTTTTAACGATCTTTGCGTCCTCATCTTCCACCGCAGCATTCCGGTCAAGCTGTACGGTGTTTCTATAGAACCTAGAGGTTGAACCAGTGTTGTATGTCGGCGAAAGACTGCCGTTAGTGTTTGGCTGCACCGAGGTTCTTACTCGAGAGGCGGGCGGGCGGGATATGATATCATCGTCTTCCCTACTCATTAGGCCGTCTCGTGAATTCTGACTTTCATTTGTGCGCGGGGAGGGTTCAACATCTTTAGAGGGAACAATTCGGAGAGGAGTGGGATGGTTCTGAGTGTCATTTGTAGGTAGTGGCGGAAGTGCTGATGCGGACCCCTATTTTTGGCCGATTTATGTATTAGCACTCTAGCGATCAACCAAATAAATAAAATAAATAAATAAAAAGGATAAAACAAAGAGAAAACCCACCCGGCCAAGCGGACTTGGTGACAATGGTTCTTTCTGGACTTCCTTCTCCTTGTCAAATCCATCAAACATATTCCCGAAACTTAACGAGTCACCCATATCCAATTCTGTATCTGGTAACCTGTGGGGAGTGGCAGTACTCGTAGTACTGGTAGTCGGCGCACGTTCTCTGGCAGTCGCAGTCCCCCTAGATCGAGGTGTGGTGGCCTCCAGGCGTTGTAGCGACTTGGAAGAAGAGGATTTGGTTCCGAAGGAGAATGTCCGACCAGCCGATCGAAAAGAGAAGAAGGAAGAGTCATGCACGGGGGGGGGGGGAACATCTTGGATGGGGATATCGGTGGAGCTGGGTAAGGTAGAGGAGGAACTAAACTTGGCGGAGGAAGCAGAGCTATCGTACAAACGACCGGTCGAGGCAGAATTGTTAGTGCCTCTGCTTCCACTTAAACCAGTCAATTTCGTGACTTGTGCTCCTCCACCACGTAAGGGATCGCTGGGATTCGGGTTGACATACCGGTTGTCCACGGGAGAGGGATGGTCTATGTTTGCAAAAATGTTATTTGCGTAGGGGTCCTCCGACAGACGTTTATTATGGCTGCTGTTGCTGGTACTGGAGTTCAGAGTGGTGGATCCATCGAGGGACTTTCTAGCAGCACCAGGACGCTCAAAGACCCTGAACGAGGGCTGGGGCGTCTCATCCAAGGCTTCCAAGGCATTTCCAGAAGATTTCCGCCGAGCAAAGCCCTTGGGGAGCTTGATCGGCATGGAGAAAAAGGGATCCGGAAATGCAAGTACAACAACAACACAACAACAACGGCGGCTCTCTTGAGGTCCTGGATGGCCTTTTGGGGTGGCTTGGAGTTGTAGATCTATCTATCCTTCGTTCCTGGTTCCCAACTCAATTCGCTTGGGACAGGGTCAACAACCCACGCCCGGGACAATAAGAAAGTTACTTTATCACCACGACATGGAACAAAGAGAGCACTGTCAAGAGGGGAATCTATGCACAAAGGTATGATAATAGCAATGGCTGTTAGATAGAAATGTACCGGTTAGAAATGTAAGGGTTGAGAAATATTAAAAATAGAAACAGACAAACAAGAAAAAAAAAAAAGAAAAAGAAAAAAGAAACCGCACAAAACGTAGGTGTTAACGAGGACTTCGAGAATATGCCAGCTTATTTTTATTTCTTTTTATTTTTTTTTTAGGGAGAGAGAGAAGAGAAGGATGATAGAGAAAGTCAACAGCATCGTCTATACACACCTCTTATCAATCTTATTTATTGCTGCCCTCCCAGCAGACACAGACCCAGCACCAAAAATAACAAGACAACCAGCTTCCCACAGGTATTCACGTGCCTGCAATGTACACAGTCAGATGAACAGGTCTGCAATGTAGCAAAGCTTTGTTGCACACGGATGAGGGAAGAAGGTAGGACGAGGGCGCCGATCGAAGAGTCGAGGGAGTCGAGTTGGGGAGGGGACGATTTATTTGGCTTCGTGTACCTGCGAAAGATCGTGATTGGGGGAACGCCAGCAGCCAATGGGAGGGAATGAGAGGGTGAATTAAGAATGAATATACACAGAGAGAAGAGGGGATACGGATGGAGGGAATGAAGGAGAGATGAAGACGAAGATGAAGATGAAGATGAAGATGAAGATGAAGATGAAGATGAAGATGAAGATGAAGATGAAGAGAAGAGAAGAGGAGAAGTGAAGAAGTCGGAGAGCAGGTTGGCGATGTTTGTCTTTCGCAGGCGATGCTTCTGGCCCGATCGATCCTGCAGCGGCGGCGGCGGCAAAAGGGCTGGCTTAGCTGGACAGTGCACAACAGATAAGTTTGGAATTGAAGGCTGAAATAAATAAAATAAATAAAATCAAATAATCAAATAATCAAATAATCAAATAATCAAATAATCAAAATAATCAAAATAATCAAAATAATCCAACAAATCGGTGAATTCAATCAATCCATCCGCGTGTAAATGTTTTATATAAAATTTATGAAGGTCCTCTCCTGCCTTTTCTCTCTCTCTCTCTCTCTCTCTCTCTCTCTCTCTCTCTCACTCTCTTCTTCTGCATCATCTCTTCTTCTTCTTGTTCCTCTACAAGGTGGCGATGTCTCTGCCCAGTCGAGCTGCCGCCGTCCCTCTCATCGCCGACTAGGCTCCATCTAGCCCCGTCCGCTAAGCAGGGCCAGCACCACGCTACCAGCATCCTGCACCATGGCAGCGTAACTCCTCGATTCCTGGCTTGATGACTCTCTATATTATTCCAACCGAGTTCCCCACCCACCACAGAGAGACACAAACCATATCCAGAGACATCAGTATCCGCGCAACCCTCCCTCCGATGAGAATATGATCGCCGGGCCGGGCTGTCTCAGAAAAATACTCTGGTTCTCGTCCTCGCTGAGCCTCCCATCCCATCCATCCATCCTCTCCTCGACAAATCGGTTGGTGGGTGCTCCGGCTACTGCAGTCACGTGTTCCCCATTCCAACCTCGCTAGCTCGATTAATATAAATAGATTGCATAACTACGTAGTTAGTTAGTGTAGTGACACTAAAAGGTTATTATTATTTGTTGGCCCTTACGGCCGTTGCGGTTAGCGATCTCACTAGATCACATGACCCATCACTATATTATGTTCTTGTAGATAGATCTATCAATACAATCTTCAACTATTCTACAGATTATAGCCCAGATGACATATTTTTCTTTTTAGAACATTGTATCAACATTTTTAACATGAATAGTTTATCTTTTTTGAAAAGACTCTCACTCTTTATTAGAGATATTTCATTTTCTCTGAATCTGTCAGTCAGCAGATTTATATACTTTATATTTTTAAGAAAGCATATTCTTCATTGTGAAGAATATCACTTTTTATTTTTTTTTTTTTTATATATCTAGAAGAAGCAGAGTTATCTTGATATAAGTGATATATCTATTACTTCAGAGTTCAGCTTAAGACTCAGAATTACACACTTCACTAGATGACTCATTGATAGAATAATCACTTATTATGAGAAGACTTCTAACTTATAAGATGAGACTGAGATCAGTTTTTATCAGAGTATGAAATTTAATAATGAGATAACAGAGAAACTTCAGAATAAAGAAAAGCAGAGTTAATATTTATCTGCAGAATCTGTTTATTTTAATTCATTAAATTCTTTATTATTTCTCATTCTCAGAATGCTGATTTTTAATAATAATTCAAATCAATCTATTTATTATATCACAGATAATCTTATAAATCTTATACAGATAATACTACAGAACTAAATAACTATGACTGAAATTACTTAATATCTCACTATATCTATCTCTGTATAAAGAGACACTATAAGAAATAAGTTACAGAAATATCAGAAGAAAGTCAAATATATACTAAATATTAAATCAGTAATCACATTTGATGACTCTAATTATAAAGTCTGATATATTGATATATTAGCTGATATGAAAGTTATTAATGAAACTGATATTCTATTAAGAACTTAATAAGAATTCTCTTTTATATATTATATTAACTTTAAGAAGTGAAGAATTCATTTCAAGTCTCTATATAGATATATACTATTAAGTCTTATTAAAAATGTTTAAATTACTATTAAAATCTTGAAAGCTGATAATACTATAACTCTGTAAGATAAGATTAATATTGAATATATAATATCACTGATTGAAGAATAAGTTAATATCTTTAAAAAATTAATAAAATTATAAGTTAAGAAGAATGATTATCTCACTTTTCAGAGATATTTCTACTATTTTATTATCTATTATAAGAAGCTCTGTCAGAGTACTGAGAATGTATATTATAATCTTTTTCTCAACAATCTATAAGATTATCAAAGACTGTTTATTAAGATATATTTAAATGAGTTTTTCTTCACTGATCAGAGACTTATTATCAATATTAATATTAATAATTTAATAAAGTAACTGATTAATTATATATTTAAGAAGATTATCACTAAGTGAAAAAAGCAGTCTCAGACTGATTCTATGACTGTGAAAAAGAATAAGAATAAAGATGAGAATAAAAACACATCTGTATAAAAGTACATTCACTGTAGAAGATATGAATATACTGTTAACAGATGTTTCATCTTACACTCTGATAAAAAGAAAAAGAAGAATGATAAGAAGAAAGAGAAGAAGAATGACTTAATAAGTTCTTAATCAGCAGTAAATACAGTAATTACAAAGATTAAGTTCTATTTCTCTTTTACAGTTACTGAAAAATTATTCTCTAGATCTTGATATTTGAATACATGTGTAAGTCTGAATATAACAGATAAGCTTTATTCTTTTTCAAATATTAAATCTTTTAATGATAACATCTCTGTCAATTCTGCAACTGAGAGAACTGAGTTTGTTAAGAAGATTAAAACTATTATCTTGAAGATTGAGAGTAATAATGTTAACTTACAGAATGTTCACTATATTTCTAATATTACAGTTAATCTGCTCTTATTCACAAAGCTTGAAGATCAGAAATTTCAATTTATATTATCTTTCACTATTTCTTCATTTTTTATTTGCAGAGCTCTGAATAGTATTATTTTTCATACAGTTCAGACTGCTCAGAACAATATATATAAGATTAATAAATAAGAGTTCAATGAGAATTTCAATCATTTAAACAAGGCAGTCAAGTATATTATAATATTATATAAGTATAATTTTAATTAAAAAGTTAATCTTTCTGTGACTGCTATTACTACTGTTAATAACATTGATTCTACAGTTCTGAATACAGGTCTTAAGAATACAAGAATATCAAAGACTCTTTTGAACTGATACTGTAATCTCAGTCACATTCACACTGATACTATAATTACTATGACTAAGAATTCTCATACTGAAGTCACAATTAAAGATTCTAAGACTAAGTTCTTTTATAAGAAATATGTCAAGACAGATATAATATAAGATTATTTGAAAACATTAATATCTAGATCTATTCAACTTATTGAGAAGGTTCATATTAATCTTATAGATAATAAATGTACATTGAAAGATCTCTCTGATTATCTCTTAGAGTTCTGTCAGAGAATCAAATACTGAATGCTTATTATCTGTAATGTAACCTGCTATCTGTAAGAAATCCCGCTTCTCGCGGATTCTTTACCTCTATTCCTATCTCTCACGTAATTAATAGGGCTAGCGGCCCTTGACTACATACAACTATATAGACTGGAGTTCATGAATACTATTCATAACTCAGCTTGAATGCTATTATATATTTAATCTCTACATTTTATCTTTCTACTGTGAATACTTCTAGTAGTTAACAGTACATATCATGTCAAGCTGTAAACATCTGAATAATCATCTGTGAGCACTTATTCTTACATTTCAAGCTCAGTCAGTCAGCAACTGTCTATTATAACTGAAAGAACTAGAAACTTATATACTTCAATCTCTACAAACTCTACTGCAGGCACTCAGAAGCAGCCACTTAAATTATAAATAACTCTCATAAAAGAAGTCTCAGAGAACTTACTAATCACTTATAAGATATTATTCTCTGCATCTGTGACAGAGAAATTCTTCAAACTTATAAATAAATCAATCTCAGTGAAGAACATTCTTGAGCATCTCTTACAGAATTAAGCTATTTTTCTATAAGAAATGCTTACTGTCTGTAAACACTCTTGAACTGAGTCTCTAGACATGATCTTCAGAGATACTTATAAACTGAAAAGAAACTTTCTTAAGCTGTGATTACTTAAGATCACTTATCAAATCACAATCTATAAAAGCTTTTATAAGTTTGTATTTGAAATTGACTCACAAGTCTGACTGTGTGATATAGAAGATGAAGAAGCTATCATCTATATAATAACAGATCTCTATTACACTGAAGTCAAGAACTGACTGAATCATCTAGAGAATGATTATAAGAGATCTCACTAATCTGTTCTCAAGATCTATCTAGAGAATAAGTTAAGAAACTCTATGAGCTGAACAGAGAACACCTGAACCATGATCATCAATATTAGAAAAAGAGATGAGAAATCTGATAAAGACTACTCACAGTGCTTTATGAAATTATGATATAAACTGAGATCTGTGAAAACAGAGCTCTGAAATAAGATCTGAATAATAATATTTATAAAGAGACTGAATAAAGATATACAGAATAAGCTCATTGAGTAAGACTCTAAGTTCTTGACTCTGAAGAAACTGATGACTTTCATTCATCACTTACAGATCACTGTGAGAGTCACAGACTTATAGAGAGCAGATCACTGATCAGCTCTGTAAGAATCAGAATAACAGAGAACAGATTTATCAGAAAAAGATGATAAGATACAGAGAGATTCATATCTGACTACTAAGTAGAGAGAAAGAGCTTCATAAGCTTCTGTGAACAGAGTGTATAATAGAGAGATCAAGAAAAAGAGACTCTGCTTCATCTGTTCTAAATTAGAACATGTCTGCACAAACTGTTCAGACAAACTAAAATAGAAATTTGAGAAGTCACAGACAGAGTCAGTAACAGTCTTCTTAAGAGTCTTGAAGCTGACATCTGAATCTGTTACTCTCTCAATGAAAATACTTACTTATAAGAAGAGACTGCACTGCAGTACTGCTGTCTCACAAGCATGAAAAGTATTAATGAACTCAGAATCTCAGATCACTGTAGTGTCTCTAAAGCTTACAGAGTGAATGAGTTGAAAGATAGAAACTGAGAACCTGCTCTTATAATAAGCAGGATGCAAGAACTCAGATCTGAGAACTGAGAGACTTATAAGAATTATCTTTGAATTATAAGATCTCTCTGAAATCTGAAGAAGATTTGCAGAAACTGTGATTATCACAGATATTATAGATAACATGTACTTAAGACTTGTATAACTTCAAAGACATAATCTATATATAGCTGTC